AGGCGCTCGTGTGGCAGCTTGCGGCGCTGGCGCGGCCAGCTGCCTCGCCCCCTGGGCCGCTCCATGCCTCCGCTGCTGGCGGCGATCGCCCTTTCCACGCTCCACCGTCAGACAGTGACGCCGCCGCCCCTGGCGTCGTCTCGTGCCGCGCCACCACGCTCGTGCAAAAGGTGGCGGTGATCCGCGAGCATCTCGGCCTCGAGCCGGACTCCTCGCTCTCTGCCGCGGTGGCGGCGGCCAACGAGAGGGCGGGGCTCGCCGCCGAAGGCGGGCTGCTGCAGCAGGTCGACCGGCTGATGGCGCTGCTCTTTGATGGTAGCACATGAGATGACTCTGGCTCTTGGGTGCTGTAGCCCTAGCGGGTTGACCTCGCCCAGAAATGGTCTGCTCAGACCCTTGGCTGAGACTTGCGTTCTACTATAGAGCAGTGTACGAGTGTTACGACTTACGCGATGTGGTGCACTCTCTCGCTGGTCTGGAATTTTGGTCCGCCTCTGGCTCTGCCCCGCCCATGGCCCCGCCCTCGCTCCCGGCGGAAATCAAGAAACGAGACGGTGGCGCTGATGTCTCGCGTGTAGGTACATCGGACAGGGAGCGTTCGGAGCCCCATGGCGTCTCGCAACGCAGTATGATTTTTCCTGACGGCGCGCCTTCTCTCTCGGCGGCACTTTCCAAGTCACGAGAAAATGGCCTCCGAGCAGGCACAGCTAGTCGCCAGCTTCGAGTCGCTGCAGCAGTCGCATGCCTCCCTCCAGCACGAGAACGACAAGATGCGCGCCCGGCTCGAGGCGCGAGACCGTGAGCGGCAGGATGCGCAGGAGCTCATCGCGCACCAGAACGAGCAGGCGCTGCAGTCCACCGCGATGCGGGCGCGGGAGCACGCGATCCTCGAGAAGTACGTCGCCATGGTTGCCGTCCACAGCGACACGACCGCCCTGGCCGCGTGCGAGACCGCGGCCTCCGACCAGCTCGCCGCCGCACGCAACGAAAACATCTCGCTTCAGCGCCGGCTTCAGGTCTTCGAGGAGGAGCGGCTCATGATGCGCGCGCGGCTTGAGGAGGTGACGCAGCTGCACAGCGACAAGGCCCGGCTCGAGCACGAGCTCTTCCTCGCGCGGTCCGAGGAGCGCAAGGCGCGCGCGGAGCTGGCCCCGGCGCAGACGACCGCTGACATGTGGAAGGGCAAGTTCCACGAGATGCGCGGCATGCTCGGCAAGTCGGAGGTGGAGGCGAAGCGGAAGGAGATGGAGTTTCAGACGCAGCTATCGACCATGTCGCGTCAGCTGCAAGTGACCAAGTCGCGCGCCGACCGCCTGTTTCTTGAGTACGACCAGCGACAGCGCAGCCTGCCGCCCCACCCCCAGCACGGGCAGATGACTCGCACCTCGGGCCAACTTCCGCCTCAGCAGTTCAGCAGAGGCGGACCGATGGGCGCGGCGTGGAATCCTCACGAGCCCCTCTACCAGCGCCCTGGTGAGCCTCAGCGCGGCGCATTCCGCTTCGGCTACCCTTAGCCGCGTCAACGAAGTCAAGACCGCTTCCTGAGAGGCGACGCTCGGTTGCCTCGGGTGCCTGGCCATTCTTGGCGTGCGCTTCAAGGTGGACCGGGCTCGCGCTCTGGAGGGCGTGCAAAACACGGAGCAACGCACGTCCGGTTTGATCCTCTTTCACTTTGGTGGGGATCGACCCCCGAGCGTGCTACTCTGCTAGCGAGAGCTCGCGTGACACAGAACAGATGTGTGTGGAGGCATGTGATCTCGCTCTCATTCGTGTCACAAGCCACATGCGGCAGGCGTGTCCAGCACGGCGCGTGTGCGCACTCTCTGTGCTCGAAAGACGGACATCGACTGTTGTGGTCCGTGAACGAAAGGTGTGCGCAGTGCGCCGTGCTGGCAGTGGCACCTCGCCACCTGGCACACCGCCAAATCGACATACAGCACACCGCGGCGAGAGCGTTGGCTGTTGCAACAGCAGCGTCTCCGCCCTGTCGCTCTCCCTCTTTTCTTTGACCACGTACTAAGCCAAACGTATACGCTCACGCGGCCCGAGGCCCCACATCCCCGTCTCCATCTCCGTACGCGCCGCGCATCTGCCAGATTCCCATCACGCCGAAGTGGTATTCCGTCGCGTTGGCCACCTTGATGGCGGTCAGATTCGCGTCGAGGCCGAGGACGGGCGGCGGGCGGAGACCCTCCTCCGCACTGCCCCACTGGCAGGGCGGCAGCCACAGGTATCCCGCCTCGTCCCAAGCCGCGTCCGACTTTCCGCGGCGCGGCGTCACCTCGCAGAGCAGCTCGCCCGTGTCGCGGTCCCGCAGCTGCAGCGAGAGGCACGCAGGCGAGTGGCAGTGGCCACCCGCCATGATGAGTCGCACCTGGCAGCCGCCGCGACGGACAGGCCGCGGTGAGGGCGGTGGCGGGCGAGGCCAACAGGAGGTGCGCGGAGGAGGAGGCGCACCTTGCCTCCGCGCGCCTCCGCCACGCGCGCGCTGGCGCAATACTCGTCCCCAAGCGAGTCGCAGTCCTCGGCGAGCATGTCCCGGAGCTGGAAGTGAGAGGTGACAGTGTGCGTCGCCTTGTCGGCCGGCGTGCCGGCGGGCGCCTGCGGACATCGGGGCACGTCTCGGACATGTTGTTGTCATGGACACGCCACGCGGGGCTTGGCGGCGGCGGGTGGGCGGCGAGCGGGCGAGGGGCCGGTGCGGCGGGCGGTGGGGCGGCGGGCGGTGGGGCGGGCGCCTTGACAACATCGTACTCGATGTG